TAAGTGACCAGTTTGGTCTAAACTCTTTGAAAAGTACTCAACTTTATGAAGATGTGAATTAACCTGACTTGCTTATTGGTTTGATATTTTTGGTATTTTTAATGATTATAATCCTTTCTGTAAGAAATAAATACGACTTGTTTCTTGAAGGTAAATAATATCAAAGGCCACCTGGATGTCCAACAGGCATGTCAAATTCAGCATATCCACAATTGAATTCAGTACTTTCCCCCAAAAATACAATTGAATTCAGTACTTTCCCCCCAAACCTGTCCTTTCTCTTTTTCTTTTCTTGCCAATTGTTACCACTTTCTACCTTATTACCTGTATTAGTCCTTTTTTGTTGCCTATAACAAAATACTTGGAACTGGGTAATTTGTAAGAAAATGAGATTTATTGCTTATAGTTTCAGAGGCTGGGAAGTCCAAAGTTCAGGAAGCGCATCTGGTGAGGGTCTTCCTTGATGGTGGCTTCAATGACACAGATTATCACTGTGAGATGTGGGATAGCAGAAGCAGAGAGAGATACTCTCACATGCTCTCCTTTTAAAGCCATCAGAACCATGCTTGTGACTACCGTTATTAATCCAGTCATTAGGGAATGGTCCTATGAACCTAATCACTTCTTCAAGGCCCCACATTTCAATTACCGTAATAGGATTTCCCACCCTCAACAGTAACAGTGGGGATTAAACTTCAGTACATAAAACTTGGGGGACACAGTTCAATCCATATCATCACCTACAGTAGATACCTGAAAATTAGCCTTAGTGTATCTCTTGCCTTACTTGTATATCCTTTCACCCTCCAGGACATGTTGATTTTACTTCAGTATTGTCTCTCATATGTGCTCCTTCCAGTGGCCCCTATTACTTCTATCTTGGGAGAGGCCCTGATACTCTCTATCCCAGACTTCTAGCCCTTCACTTGAACAGTCCGTTCATCTGCTGGCTACCAGAATACTCTCTCCAAATGCAAACTTATTCACATTAGTTTCCTATTGAAGGCCTTTTGTGGGCTCTCTTTTACCCATAGGAGAAATTTGAAAGCCTTTAGATCAGCATCCAAAGATCTCCACAGTCTGGCCGCTGCACATTTCTAGCCTTAGATCTTTGTACACTCCTAGCATGCCTTACTCCTACCATGCCTGAAACTTGGGGTGCTTGGAGTCATCTGTTTTGCTTCCTGCCTTTCTCTCACACTTGGAATTTCCTCCCACCATTTTGGGGGAAGACCTCATTCTCTTTCAGGATTTAGTTCAAACTTTACCACCTTTAGGTGGTGTGTACTGTCTTCATCCACCCTTTTCCACACAGAATTGACTATTCTTCCTTGTTCTACTGTTGGAAATCCCTCGCTTTTTATTACAGCACCCACAAAACTATATTATACCTATTTGTTTACCTACTTCCCTAATAGATTGGAA